GTTCCCGGGGTGTCTGCCCTGAGGGTTGACCCAGAGAGGGGTGGAGCAAAAGATGGAGACACGGTGGGCGCAACCGTGGGGGTTCTCACCCAGGCCCGAGATGGACGGGGCGGCCACCCGAGTGGACACCATCTGCACGTACCTCCCTGACCCCCAGAGCCCCGGGCCGGGCCGGGAGCAACTGTACGGGGAGCTGAGCCGGCTGACCCGGGGCGTCACCCAGCTGGGCCCCTACACCCTGGCCCGGGACAGCCTCTGCGTGGACGGTGAGCGGCAGCCACTTTGCACTTCAATCGGCCTTCCCGCCGCTGTCCTGTCCACTCTTCTTCCTGCGTCTCACCGCTGTCCTGTCTCTGCCCGTGCAGGATACTCCCAGCAGGCCACCAGCTCCAGCCGTGAGTGTGCCGAGGCTCCGAAGTGTCCGCGGTCTCGGGTCCCAGCCCTCAGCCTGGACGCCTCCCGCCCAGCCCCCATTCCAGCCAGAGCCCGCCCGGGGAGCCCTCGTTTGAGCGTCCGGGCTCTCTGCCGTGTCCTCCTCTTCCGTGGCAATGCGTCTGCCTCTGTGGCGAGGGGCGGGAGCTCCTGGTCCTCGCTGAGTGGGCGGCAGGCCCTGCCCGGGCTCGGACGCCACAGGGCTCAGAGCCCCCTGTGGGGGTGGTCACCATCGCCCCAGAGAAGGCCTGCCCTTTCCTGAGGGTCTGGCCCCGCCTCGCTCACCGTCTTTCCCTGCTGACCACACTCCTCTGGCCTCGGCCACCACCCCCAGCAGTCAGTGTCCTTTGTGGCTGTGTCCACTGCCTGGCTACTCACAGGGGCCGCTTCGCCGGCCAGTGTGTGCCTCCTGCCCAGGGGCAAGCAGGGGCCACCTCCGCCCCTCCCCCACGGAGTGGTGAGGGCCCAGGCCAAGCACAAAGAGGCCCCTGGGCCCTGTGGGTGGACCCCACAGGGCCGGGCACCAGCCGCTGCGGAGGGCGCCTCTCCCCTCACATCGTGGCTCTTCACCTGCCCAGTGTCCTCTCCCACGGCCTCCCCAGGCCGGGTGGGGAGGCCCCTGCTGGGCCCAGGCCGCCTCCCCAGAGTGACCTCTCCCTCCATGCTCACTCCCTCCCCTGCAGGTACCGTCCTGGGCACCAATTCCAGGGGCCCTTTATCTGCCGGGGTCCAGCTCCTGAGACCTGCCCCGCACCCTGGAGCAGCTCCAGACCCCTGGCCAGTCCACCCCCAAAGCACCAAGTCTACTTCTCTGGCCCTGAGCTGATGGCGCCTCGTTCCCGGCCCCGGGGGTCCCGGCCCCTCCCACCTCTGGTCATCTCGCCAAGCCCTGTGGCGTCCCTCCGCACCGGGTGCCTGTGGCCATGGCCCTGTCCTGACCGGTGTGGTCAACTCCCGGCCTGTGAACCGAGCCCAGGCCCCGTGCCGCGCCGCCGCCCCCTTCTGCTCGAGGGTCCAGTCTCGTGTCTGCGACGCCTCACAGCACAGAGAGGCCTCCGGCCCTTGTTCCTCCGGGAGACCCCCACCCTGCCAGGAAGCGGGTGCCCCCCGCCGCCCCCACGTGACCCTCTGCCCCTCTCCTGGCCCCGCCTGGGGTTTCCAGCCCACTCACCCCAGCGCCCGGGGCTCAGCCAGAGCTGGTGTCGGGTGCCCGCCAGTGCCCGCTGCCCAGCGGCTCTGGGCCCAGCGTCCAGCGTCTCCGCCGTCTGTGACAGTGACGGTCCACGGCGGCCCGTGAGCCTCCGGCCACCTGGTACAGAGGTGAAACTGCCCGTCTGGCTCTCCCTCTCCCCGCAGCCACCGGCCCCTCCTTGGTGCCCGTCACCCTGAACTTCACCGTCACCAACCTGTACTACAGGGAGGCGATGGGGCGCCCGGCGTCCCTGAAGTTCAATTCCACTGACCGCCTCCTGCAGGCCCGGGTGAGACCCCGCCCCGCAGGCCTCACCCGCCCTGGCTCGGGCTCGGCTCACCCTCAGCTGGCCCTCTGTCCCCCAGCTCGGGCCCCTGCTCGGCCAGACCTCCGTGGGCCCCCAGTGCGCCGGCTGCAGACTGGACTCGCTCAGGTGAGTGCGGGCAGCGGCCCTCTGCGGGCAGCGGCTGGGTGCCCGGCCCCCGCCTTCCCGGCCGTGGCAGGTGCTCGAGGCCTGCAAATGGAGCGTCCTGCTTCTGCTGCCCTGAGTCCGATGACCTGTCCTCTTAATGTGTCCTTCCCTCTAAAAAGAACCACGGGTCCTGCCCAACATTGTCTTCCATCCTTATTCATGGGGACAGGCTCTCTCTCGAGTCACTGGGGGTCCCCTGCAGATGCCGCGGGGCTCCTCTGCGCCCTCGTCCCTTCCCTGCACACCTGGGACCCCCCTCACCCTGGCGCCCCCCGGCTGGCTTCCCCAGGCCGGAGAATGGCGGGGTGGCCACCGGCGTGGGCTTCGTCTGCACCTTCCGGGCCGACCCAGCGGGCCCCGGGCCGGACCGCGAGCAGCTGTACTGGGAGCTGAGCCAGCTCACCCACGGCGTGAACTGGCTGGGCCGCTTCTCCCTGGACCGGGACAGCCTCTACGTCGACGGTGAGCGGCGTGACAGGGTCCCCCTCCAGGACCTGGGGTGCTCTGCTTCTCTGATGTGGGCATTGGTCATTTTCTACTGCCGGGCTGGGCTCGGCCTTCGTAGTGAGGAAATGACCACTCGGTCCGGCCCCCTTGAGCCTCCTCCCCGCCAGCTCCCCTCTGCCGTCCCCAAGGGCCTGAGCCTTCCGCTGTCCTCGCCGGCTCCGGCCAGCTCCTGCCTCTCTCCGCAGGTTACACTTACAGCGTGGCGGAGCTCTCCACCGCCAGTGAGTATTTCTGGCCGCTCCCCACTTTCAACTTGGGGAGCAATTGCTCTTACTTCCTGTTCTCGGTGAGGGTACGTCCGAAGGGGCCCCAGCCACCCTCGCGCTCCCCGGGTCCTGGAGGAGGCCCCAGCCGGGGGGTCTTAGCCTCCCCTGCCTCTGGCGCTCCCGCTGCCATCCCTGCTGCCGTCCGAGCGCCTCTCGGGGTCAGGGCAGCCGTCAGGAAGATGTGCTGAGACTGGGCCACCTGGCGAGTCCGTCGCCAGGGAGGTCGAGCTACCCTGGGCTGAGTAGCTCAAACAGAAAACCCTGTTGTCACCATCCGGAAGGTCGGAAGTTCGAGGTCGCGGGAGAGTTGCTTCCTCCTGAGTCCTCTCCCTGCGCTTGCAAATGGCGGCCTCTTGCTGCCTCTTCACGTGGCCGGCCCTCTGCACGTGCATTCCTGGTGGCCCCGTGTCCTCGTGGGTGGGTGGGCGGTTAGGTAGGTGGGTGGCTGGCTGGATGGGTGTGTGGGTGGGTGACGGGTGGGTGACGGGTGGCTGGGTGGGTGGAATGATAGAAAGCAGTTGTATAGAAGAAGGCTTGGAAGCAGTGCTGTGATGACTGGAACGGAGGGAGGGAGAGGGGAGATCAGCCTCCCCCGAGCGCGGTTCACACATCCGGCTCGTTCACTCTGAGTCACCTCACAGGCAGTCCGCTGGGCTCCTCAGCTCGTATGTCCATTTGTCCTGCCTCCCAGAGAGTCCTGCGCACAGCCCAGCGGCCGGGGTCTGTGCTACCAGCATGTGCCTGGGCCAGCGCAGCGGGGGCTCGTGAGCCAGGAGGCAGGAGGCTGGAGGGGGCCCGCCCGGCTCCCCCTCCCCGGCCACATGGCCCAGGCAGACGGCCCTCTCTGTAGTCTGCCTCAGGTTGCTTAATTCCCGTAAAATGCTTGCACACGGTGCTGGGAGCAGGTATTTACTATATACGACAAATGGGAAAATGCTCTCTGAGCCCTGGCTGTCGGAGAGGGGCGGGGAGAGGCGGGGTTCCCGTAGCTAAGTAGCCTCTTCCACGCTTTTATCTGAAAGCCAACAGTCCTCGCAGATATGCTAGACAGCTATAAAGATGGAGACTCTTTGCATGGACACATTGATACAGGGCAGGGAGGGCGTGAGGCAGCATCGGGAGGCAGTGAACCCTCTCTTGCGATGAGCAAAGCCCCCGAGTTTTCACACCGCCCACTCCCCACCTGGGGGGAAGCGCTGGCCCCCTCCGAGACCGCCAAGCCTGCCCTCGCTGCTGGGGCTGTTACCCCAGCCCATCCCTGGGCCCCCACCCTCCACACCGGCTCTCTCTGCACCCGCTGCAGCTGAGGACGTGGGTGAGGAGCGGTTCACCGTGAACTTCACCATCGACAACCTGCGGTATTCGGCGGACATGGGCCGCCGGGGCTCGGTCAAGTTCAACATCACCGACAACGTCCTGCGGCACCTGGTGAGGGCGCTCCCGGCTCTGCGCGCGCCCGCTGCCCCCTGCGGCTCGCGCTGACCGCCCTTCCCCTCCAGCTCGGCCCGCTGTTCCAGAGGAGCTGCCTGGGTGCCCGCTTCTCGGACTGCAGCGTCACCGCGCTCAGGTGAGACCCCTGCGCCTGCCCCACTGCGGGGGACTCTCGGGGTGCACTTCTGCGCCCACTTTTTAATGCTGTCTTACGAGTTTTTGAAACTGTGATGAATACATACAGACATAAATGAGCCACCTGCAGCGGGCGGCGCCGCACGGGCCGTTCCCCGCGGGGAGCGCCCAGGGCTGCCATCTGCTGCCAGGCTCTCCGGGCTGAGCAGAGTGGCCCGTGGTCGTGACCTGGCCTTCGGGCCGCTTGCACGCTGATTCCGACAGGTGCGCGCCGCTGAGCTCCCCACCTGACCGCTCCCGCAGCCCCAGGGAGGGCCTGGGCGCCCCCTGGTGGACGGTAGAGACGGTGCAAAATCAACGTCTGCAATGGTTTCCAGGGCAGAGTTGGGGGTGCAGGTTTCGGGGAGTCCAGGGCCGCCTCTCTGCAGAAGCGAGCTCTGCCCTCTTGGCAGGGACTTGGCACCGGCGGTGAGTAGCTAGGAGGTCGGTGGGCGAGAGCAGAGTGGGGGCAAGGCGGGAGGCGCTCAAGGTCACCAGCAGGGTGCACAGGGAGGAGTTGGGGGAGCTGGTGCTTCAGGTTGCATGCACGTGTCGCGTGGCTGATGCCCAGAACACGCAGGACCGACAGGCTGCACCTAGCACCCGGGCTTCCTTCTGCCCACCAGCGCGGGCGCCGCCTTTCTATGGTCTCTGTGGCTGACTGCTTTGGGGCCTCTCGGTGAGCTGTGGCCATGCTGCCTTTCGGGCCACCTGGCTCCCTCGGCCTCTGCCCGCCGGGCTCCTCCGTTTTAAGGTGGAACGAGAGTCCGTGGCGTGGACGCCAGTCGTCCGGGCTTCGGCTTCTGTGGGCCGGGCAGTGTGCGAGGGGCTCGGCAGAGCACCAGTGGCCTAGACCAGAGGCCACCGGGGACCAGTGAGGTACCTGGATGGCAGCCCGGACATGCAGGGAGAGCCGGGAGGCCGTGGGCCCACGGGTGGCCTGGCCCAGCCCGGGTGGGCCTTGGGGGCAGATGAGGAGCTGAAGTCCTGCTGGGCAAGTGACCGGGAAATGACCGAGGAGCCAGGGGAGCGCCGCCCCAGGAGCCACCACCCAGGAGGTGACCTGGCCAGGCACAGGCCGGACGGCTCAGCCAGGCGGGGTCTGGGATCCCAGGTGTGCAGCGGCCGCAGGCGGAGAGCAGACGGGCAGCCGCAGCCCTGGGCCTTGCTGTGCTCCCCAGGCCTGTGGAGAGTGGCGCCAAGACAGGGGTGGACGTCCTGTGCAAGTACCTGCAGCCGCCCCGGGCCCCACGGCTACCTGTCAAGCAGGTGTTCTACGAGCTGAGCTGGCAGACCCGTGGCATCACCCGGCTGGGGCTCTATTCCCTGGACAAGGACAGTCTCTACCTCAATGGTGAGTAGGCCTCAGCCCACTGGCCCACTGGCCATAAGAGAAAGCTCAAGGCAGACCTGGGTGGGGGGCCCTGGCTCCCCATGGAACCCCACAACCACCCTGCAAGACGGCCCTTGATTCAACGCATTTTGCTGATGAGGAAACTGAGGCTCCAAAAGGTTGAGTCGTTTTTCTAAGTGTGTGGGGGGGGGGGTCTTTGAACCCAGCGGTCGGCCTCCAACACTGTACCCCACCTACAGCTAAGTCCCAGAAGAATTGGGGGAGGGGCTGCCACACCTTCTCCCTTCTCTGCTTACTTCTGCCTGGTGGTGGGCTCTCTCCTGTGGGGGGTCCCTGGGCACAGCCACTCTGAGTATCAAGGGGGTCCAAGTTGGGGCGCCACGGGCAACAGCTGAGCTCTGCAAAGGGAACACTTACCGGGGTGCCCTCGTCTGGGGCTGATATTCAGAACCTGGCCCTGATGACCCCACTCCCCCTGCGTGTCCCCACCCTGGGGACAGACTTTGGCGGTGCCCCATGGGGGGCAGGGGGCAGTGCCTGTTTCCACCAAGGGCATGGAGGGACCCAGAAGGGAGGGACCCCGACCTCGAGGCCAGACTGGGCCCTGATTTCCGGGTCCAGCGTCTCCTTCATCCTAACCGTGACGGGGCCAGTTCAGGACGTGCCAGCGCCGCTCCGTGTGGGTTCCTGCTGGCCCGGGGTGGAGTGGGCCCCAAGGGCAGCCTGGCCGAATGGACGCGCCCACGGGGCGGGGCGCCTGTCCAGCGCCACTGGCCCCAAATGTACCAGGCTCTGGCGTGCGGTCAGCCCTCAGTCCGTATCCCCTGGGGGGGAGATGGCTTGGAGAGGGTGGACCGTGGGGTGGACGGGGCGGGGGCGGTAACTGGCCAATGTCAATGGCACGGAGTCGCCAGGGCCTGCTGGAGGGCCGGACAAGGCCGTCGTTCTGGTCTAAAGGTCAGGGAGGCCGTTACGGTGGAGAGGCTGCGTCTGATTTGGGGGGCAGAGACGGCGGCACCCCCACTCACGCGTGTGTCCGTTGCAGGTTACAACGAGCCCGGTCCGGCGCAGCCTCCCACGAGTACGTGCCCCCGCGTCCGGCCCGCCGCAGACTCCGCGGGTCTTGAGCCGAGTCTTGTCCTTGCCGACAAAGGGGTCCCGCGTCCCAGGGGGGGCGGGGGGACGCAGGAGGACGGACGCGAGTCCCCGCTGCCTGTGGACCTGCGCCTGCGGTCTTGGTGGATTTTCTACGCCCTCCTGGGTCAGAGGAAGACATGTGGACAAGAATCCCCCGGGCAGGGGCTAGACAGGGACCCTGTAGCCTGGGCTCCGGAGGACAAGACCTGCCACAGGCGCTGGGCGCTGGTGGCCCTGCCCTCCCTGGCCCTCAGCCCACAGCCGCGGCCACGGGCTGCCGCCCCAGCACCGCCTCCCCGCCGTCAGAGCTTCGTTCCGCGGGCTCCCGCCCTCCCCGCCGTGCCCGCTTCTCTCCGCTGCTCCCCCTCCTCCCGTGTTCCCATCCGAGGCCATCCTGAAGTCGTGGTCTGCGCCTCCCCTTCCGTCCTCTGCAGTCTCCTCCGCGTTTGCACTGTTCATGCCCTTTGCCCTTTGCCCCCGCGCCTCCCCCTGCCTCTGCCCCCTCCCCACGGACCCTTCAGTCCCTCTCCCCGCCGCCCCTGCCTCCGGTGCCCGGTCCGCCCCGCCGGCCCCTCTCAGGCCTCGCTGGGTCGCGGGCCGCCCCCGGTCCCAGCAGACTGAGCGCCACCTGGTGAGCCCACGGCTGGGTCACTGGGCCCCGGCCTCTGTCCCTCCCTGACATCTGGCCTTCCACAGCTCCCGAGCCACTCACCTTCCTGCCTCCTTCGTCAGCACCTGCACGGACAGAAGCCACCACAGGTGCCCGGACATGTCCCTGGCAGAGGGCTCCGTGAGCACGGGCGGGCGGCAGGGGCGGCGACGCGTGTGAGGGAGCCGTCTGGGCGGCCCGGACGCGAGGCTGTGCTCGCAGGGAGGGACGACCGAGGCTGGGCAGTGGCTGGAGCCACGGGGAGGGAGGAGGGCCGGGAGCTGGGAGGCGCTGGGCTGGGGCGGGCCGCAGGGAGCCCGGTGACGGGAGCCGCCCGCCCCCATGGCCCCCGCCCGGCGAGGAGCCCGTCGGGCACAGGGCGCCCAGGAACCTGGCGGTGCCCGTCCGGGTGAGCGAAGACGAGGCCCAAGGCGGGACGGGGGCGGTGGGAGGGCAGAGGAGCTTCCCGCTGTGGGCCAGGTGACCGGCTGCAGGTGGGGGAGGCCGCCCCGCGCTGGACACGCCGCCCTTCCCCACAGCTGTTGGGCAAAAGCTGAAGAGCTTCCGGCTCCACTTCGCCGTCTCCAACCTCCCGTGCTCGGCACCGAGCGCTGACTCCGCGGC